CCTGGTTTAAAAATGGGATAACCCAAAGTCTTGCTTTCAAATTAATGGGATCAGGGAGGATGGAGGGCAAAGAGGGTAGCAGGGTGACCAAAGGCAGGGTCGAAGAGGAGGGTCTTGAGGCGTACCTTAAAGGAGGCAAGGGAGGGAGGGAAGGAGGTGAAACATCTTGACGCATTGAAACATGTCAAAGCACCTCACATTTTCTGTAAAGTGTAATGACTCCGTATTTGTAGGCAAACACAACAGCCAATGTATTTGGGGCTTATTGGCCAGGACACTACAACAATAACAACTTGCACTTACATAGTGCCCTCCATGCAGGGTAGTGTCTCAGAGCGCTAGGAGAAACTCCCCTTTCTTTTCAAATAGCATGATCTGTAAGATCAACCCGAACATGCAGGTGAGACCTCAATTTAACGTTTCATTTGAAGGGCAGCATCTCCAAAATTGTCGCAATCCTAGCACTGCAATACAGCGTAAACCTAGACTGCAATTCAAAGTCCCAACATTGGGCTTGAACTCCCAACCTTCTGACTCAGATCGAGAGTGAGCCAGCCTGATACCTTAGAAGAACTAATTAGACAAGGCCAATTCTATTTCTGGGAATATCTGTTTTGTGGATTTGAATTGCCTCACTACCTTTCAACAGAGTGGCTTTATTTTTGCCTCTTTAGTCATCGCTGCCCATGGAAAAACTCACATGTTTTCTGATTAAGAAGCATGGGGAAGAGATTTTATCCCTAAGGGACACATCAGCCACCTATGGCTTTTTACTACATGCACTGTGTACAATGAATGTAATGAAATGCAATACCTTACAATAGCAACCTTACAATAGAAATCAGCTGAATGTTATTGCAGGTCACATCGGACACATGCCAAGACTGTTATGAGAATTAGCAATGACTAATTGTTATGTCGCTGTTTTGGGTGACTGAGAATCTTAGGCTTTTCCTGATCGGCAAAAGAGACCGTTGGAGTTACTCTCTTAACACTTCCAGTGTTATAATCATAATAATCCTTGCATTTCAGATCTTACCTTATAAAGTCAAAATGTCTCAAAATGTCTTGACTGTGTATTTGTGGACAAATGTGGCAGTCAACAATGCCCCACAAAGAGCCATGATGTGAATGGCCATTTTTTTAAATGAAACTGATTATCTACAATCAAGCACAGCATCATAGCAAGCCTTCCCTGGCCAAGAAATAGGAACCCTTTTAGACCAGCGTGCATTTTGCATGGGAAGTGACAAGAATGAGAGGTTTTATTTGCCAACCACATTATTCATGCTTAAACAGAGTTATAGGCTGTCACCTTACTCTGAGCTGATAATGGTGTAAGTGGGTCACATATCACCAGGATGGTTTAACTAATACTACATCTTACAATGCAAAGAAAGTGCCACATTGAGCGCTCTGGGACGCCGCCTGGCATGGAGGACACTTTATAAATGTAAGTTGTTGTTGTTGAAATACAAAGTGAAAACAATACAAAGTTATGAATAAAGTGGAAAAGTTTCATTTTAATAAAATACATTTTTTTAGAAGAAAAGTAATTCACTGTGTGGCCTGTAACACTTTATTTTCAAGAATATATGGTTCCCTTGGGGAGAAAAGAGTGCAGTGACATTGAGATTGTCTAAGCTGCTTTTATATTAAACAATATGGACAAAAGACAATTTCATATAAAAATAATGAAAGCAATTGAAATCATGCTATTGTGAGCTGACAGGCCTGTGAGTGTGTATTTTATCCCAGTCAGTGCCACATGATGCTCCACACAATCCAAAGTGTTTGTTAAATAGTGTTTAATTAAATGGCAATATGTTCTTGTCTTGTGCTCCCTCCTGACTAGCAAGATAGTAGGTGAAATATGAGAAGAACTCCTTTGTCACTGCAGACTGAAATAGCTGTTAAGGCACACTGGGTGTCCAAGAATGTAATGAACTGGTTTGTTATTGAGCAGAGTCAGGCTCTTTATTACATCTGAGCCTTGCTTATTACAAGGGGTTAGGGGGAAAATCACCCCCAGCCAATCTGAGCTGTGTTGTAAGTATTAACTGCATGGTTAAATCAGATATACAGAACCATATCTATACCTGCACATGAACAGTCTTTCAGTAGTAAATGTGGAATCAATATCAATGAGCTAGAACATATTTCATATTCTTTTGTGGTAATTTGCCACTGACGGTAATTTAAGGCATTCCAATGATCAGTGAGATGATGCAAATAACTAAAAAGCCTTCATGTTGCTTTTGTTCTTTTTTCCCCTTCTGTTCCACAAGATCACGAAAGGATTGAATGAAGAAGGCCCTTTGGCCCATTTGATCTAATTTTCCAGAAAATTTACCCGATCATCTTCCAATCGCAACATCAATCTGTTTTAAAAATTAGTCCAGCATCCGAACAATAACCACCCTTCGCAAAACTAAACCCGCGTCCTCTTTTTCTGCTGCCTCAATTCATCTGTTTATTTTTTCAATCACATTAAAAAAAATTATATCCCTCAGTAAGATTCCTTCTGAGAGTTCTCTTGTGATGACTGAAGAGCTCTGAAGAGTTTTGTCTGATTGTTGCTCATAGCATATTCCTCTAATGCTTGGGATCATACTCGTTGCTCTCTTCCACACTGGTTCTGGGGTCTGGGCAGCTCCCTTATGTTGTGATGATCAGAACTATATGCAATACTCTAGGTGCACCCTGATCTGAGCACTATGCAGCTTGACTATGATGCCTGAGGGATGTAAACTCCACTGATTTCATAATATAGCCCAACATTCTGTGTTGCCTTGTTTATTGCTGTTTCACACTAATTTGACATGGCAAGTGGTGAGCCAACTATTACATCAAGATCTCTTTCAACTTCCCCATTGGCAAATAACCTGAAGACCACTCTCTTAAAATGTAATTGGTGCAACATTTTTGAATATTCTTAATTTTATTCACTATTTGGAAGGCAGAGGATGTGTTGGATTATGGAGCCCTAACTCTGTCTAAAAAAAAGGACATTTTACCTTTGGTTAAGAATACTCTGACCTCCTGTAATCCTCTGAATACAATTGAGAAGCATGGGATAGCAGTGCTGCAGCTATGTAAAGGGGTGGATTTGAATTGGGTACCATTATTTGGCACTTGCAGGCTATGACACAACAACGTGTAGATCTGAATACAGTTTTTTCCTTTGCTTTCCCCAAATGAAGGTATTTTTGTACTTAATTTGGAGGCCACAAAGGCAAAGTTGCTTTCTTATTCTTAAAATTCACAGAATTGGGGGTTTCCATATTACTAAAGTGTGTCAGCCTGGCTCAGTTGTTACCACTCTCTGGGTCAGAAGGTTGTAGGTTTGTGCCCCACGTAGGAACTTGGAATCACATAGGATAAGCTGACACTCCAGTGCAGCGCTGGGGGTCTGTTACATTGCCTTCAAAGCCCTCCACGGCTTTGCTTCCCCCCCCCTACCTCTCCGACCTCATAACCCCATATCAGCCTGTCCGCTCCCTCTGCTCCGTGGACACCGGCCTGCTTCATGTCCCCCGCACTTACCAACCCACCATTGGTGGTTGGGCATTCAGCATCTCTGTCTCTACACTCTGGAACTCTATCCTGCAATCCCTCCGCCTCACCCCCTCTCTTCCCTCCTTCAATTCCCGTCTGATGACCTTCCTCTTCGGCTGTGCCTTTGGCCACCCTCCCACCCCCACTTCCTCTTCTGATCCTAACTCACAGCTTGGGTCGAAAACCCCTGATTATCCAGCACCCTGGGAAGTCCTTCCGACGTGCAGGGTGCTATACAAGTATAATTTGTATACTCCGTTACTTAGTTGTATATTTCCATTCCTCTGGCTCCGGTCTGCTCCACATCCCCCGCCCCAACCGCCCTACCATCGGTTGCCGGGCCTTCAGCCTCTCAGCCCCCAGGCTCTGGAACTCCATCCCCCAGTGCCTTCGCTTTGCTTCCTCCCTTTCCTCCTTCAAGGCCGGTCTCAAGACCTTTCTCTTTGACCGTGCCTTCAGCTCCCCTCTCGACTCTCTACTCGCTCCTTCTCTTGCCTCCCCTCACCCTGACCATTTCCCCCCTGCTCGGGTCCTGACCCAACTGTACAGCGCCTTGGGACGTCCTCCCGACGTGAAAGGCGCTCTATAAATGGAATCTTGTTGTTGTTGTTGTTGCTGTATTGTCAGAAGTGCTGTGCTTCGGATGAGACGTTAAACCCGATTGCCTGTTTAGATGGACGTTAAAGATCCCATGGCAATATTCAAAAAAAAAGAAGTTTCTCCCAGTGTCCTGGCCAACAATCCCCCAAATAAAATTGGTCACTCACTCCATGGTTGTTTATGGGACATTGCTGTGTGCAACTCAATATCGTGATTCACCCACAAAATACACAGTCAATCCACTTTACAGTATATTCTGTGAAGCGCTTTGAGACATCTCAATAACATGGTAAGGTGACATATCAAATGCAAGGATTATTATTATTAATAATATAAATTGCATTCGTCAATTAATATACCGATATAAGCATCAGTTCAATCAAAACTGTAATATTTTAACACAGTGCAAATTAACAGTAAAATCCAAAAGTATTGAAAATGATATATCTGCAACTTTGCGACTTTGAATTACATACTTCTAAATAAATAATTGGTCATTCACTTTATGACTGCCTGTGGGGCTTTGCTTTGCACTGCCACTTTCTCCTAGGAATACTTTCATTCCATTTCACAGTAAATCCTGTGAAGCTCCCAAAGTGAAAGGCACTGCACCAAATGCAAGGATTATTATTAATAATAACAATAATAAGAGCCACAGCAATTATTTTGAAAGATTTCAAATAACACCGAGTAATAACTGGGATATGATGGGCAAACATAACAAGAAGGGTAGAAAATGCTCCAGATATATAATCATGTGAGTCACCACACAGTTCATGTAAATACCTGCTTTACCATGTTGATCATGCAGCCCATTGTGAAAGGATAATTCCAAATGAATACTTTGGAAAGTGGTTGAGAAAGTTAGAACTGTCACACACAAAGAAAATGAATAACAACTCAAGTAGGTTATTATCTTAACTGCAGTAAATCATTTAATGAATGGCACGTTGATTCCGGCAACACAACTTCACTGCAGTGCCTCTTTCATGCAATATTAATCATTTTATATTTTTGTGAATTATTTTCTGGAAAAGTCAAATACATTGATTTATATTCCAAGTGAATGCAGCATTTCATTGACATAAAGAGAATAGTTTCTAAACATTAGAAAATGCAACTGAAAAAGCAGTGGTTTGTTTTTCTTATAGGGGCAAAGAAATGGTTCAGATGAGCTTTTACTCTTTCTATCCTTTATTGGTCCAGTTGTTCCAGTTTAGCTAGTCTTTGTTCAAGGATTTTAAAGTTGACTCTGTGCATCATTAGAAATTGTCCATTCAAGTGAAAGACAGGTATGTCACACTTGTACCTGTCAAACCACACAGAATTCTCAGGCAGACTGATATCCACTTCTTGTAGGACGAACTGCAAATCAGATAAAAAATAATACGTATTTGATACAACCCTTTATCAGGTCATTGAATACAGCATCTCAAAGTGATTCACAGGCTTTATTGTAATGTGCAGCGACTGGGAACTTGTAGGCAAACCAAATAATCCAAAACAATACATGAAATTAAATAAAGTCTCATTTATGGTATTTCTTAAAGGGATTCCTTAATAAGAAATCCTGTAAGCAATCCTGATAGAATTCCTGTCAAGTCTTTGGGAACTCCACTCTCAAAGTAGATTGCGTTGAAGCAGAGAGGCACTAGATTATGTTTAACACAACCCCAATTTCTGCAACTCAGATTTCTTATTAAGGAACGATTTGAGAAATAACGCAAAGTAGACCCCAATTTCTCGAAAATCACTCATGATAACTGTCACTGATGATGAATCTAAGAGACAAAACTAAGAAGTCCCAAAGCTGTGAGTTTTGTGAATGTCTTTCTTATGATTAAAGACCAGAACTCACTATAGTTAATGAGGTATTCCCTTTATTCCATAGTTTTCAGTCATTACTGTGGCTGTTATGTGGGGCCTTGATGGAATTTAAAGCTGGGGTACACTAATAGGTGGACATAAGAACACTTTAACAGTTAAAAATGCTGTTTGTCGCTGTCAATCTATCATAATGTTTTCTGCAATGGAGATTGAGATGGCAAGAGAACAAGATTTGTTTGGTTGAAGAAGGCCCTTCGATGTATCTGCTCGCATCCCTCCAGTACACCCACCCTACCGTTAACCCCCACCCACCACCCCCAGCACTGCATCAAGCTGCTTTTCGATTGAATCTATTGAACTGGCCTCTACCACCTTTCCTGACAACCTATTCCAGTTGTTTTTTACCCTTTGTGTAAAGAGTATGAAGGTGGTTTATAACTAACAAAGCTGATCTGTGTTTCTGGTTCCCTGTTCCTCAACAATCAAAGCGTTGATACTCATGAGCAAACACTGAATATCAGTGGCACAATGACATCAACTCCATGTCCCTGATAGTGATCTACATTATGATGACGTATATAATTATAAGCTTCTGGAGGTCGAGCCACACGATCTCAACCGCAACTGGGACTGGAACCGCTCTCCTCCAGCAATCAGACACGCCTTGACTCACAAGTGACCATCAGACCAATTGCCGGTGACCTCCCTGGGGAGAGAGATGGGGGGGGAGGGGGGGGGGGGGAGAAGAGGACACTGATGACATTCCCGCTGCCTTGTAGAAGGTAGTGATTAGGGATGATGCATTTATTCACACTTATATAAATGGTCACAGGGAAAATGATTCAATAAACCAAATCATTTAATTACCCGACATTCAATTAACCAAATTTCACTGTATAGTAAACATCAGTCTATTCTGGACCACAGATCTGGTATTTGGAGCATACACAGGGCTACATAATAATAATCCTTGCAATTGATATAGCACCTTATCACAACTTCAAGACGTCTCAAATCGCTTCACAGAATATACTGTAAAGTGAATTGACTGTATATTTTGTGGGCGAATCCCGGCAGCCAATTGTGCACAGCAGTGTCCCCCAAACAGTCATGGATTGAGTAACCAAATTATTCCCCGCAGAAAAACAATCCGGCAATCGACTAACAACTGAGTTCATACTTATTGCTAGGTAAACAGAGGCGTGTGGAGTAAAGAACTCACATCCTCTTGCTTGCGAGGCGTAGTCGCCTCTAACCACTAAGCTACAGGATTTTGTATCGCCACTATACATGAACACAATCAAATATACAGGAATTAATGAATGATTTTCAAATGCCCATATCTAACTATTAGCCTGAACGATGATATAGAATTATGATTTGAATCTGATGTTTCACAAAGTTTACAAAATTTTGTAAAACTTTGCTGCTTTTATAAATTAGTTCACCATTTATGTTAATTACTTCTTATAATTTTGGTTACTGGCAAGATATGATCTGTTGGTTTTATTGATTAAAAATAATCTAGAGATTTAAAAAAAATGCTTTGCAGATTTCCCAAAAACTTTGAAGATTTCCCGCAGATTTCCACTAATCCATCTGAACTGCATCTTCAAAAATGCCAATGTACAGGGAAAGATTAGCTATTTATTGTGTGGACACATAGAATAGTTAACCCGATGTGCACAATTCTGCACATATATCTGTTACTGCTGTCTTTATCACAAAAAAAGGACTTCTTTTTTTTCCCGAATCCAATAGAGAAGTTCACCAAATGCAAACAATGGCCAAGTGTTTGAAAACTAAAAATATTCTGTGAAGTGATGGATTGACAAAAGAGATAAGTTAAAAAAAAATGGTCACTCAATCCACCACTGTTTGTGAGACATTGCTGTGTGCAATTGGCTGCTGCAGTTCATCCAGAAAATACACAGTCAATCTCTTTACAATATATCCTGTGAAGCGCTTTGAGACGTGCCAACGATGTGATAAGGCGCTATTTCAAATGCAAGGATTATTATTATGCAAATTTTAGTCTTCTGGAGACATTAATATTTTCCGAAGATTGAATCACAATGAGAAAACAAACTGTTACAATTAAAAATAAAGCAGCAAGGGCGATACATTCCTCCTGGCTCTAGATTTTATTCTATTTAGGTAACATATTAGAGCGTCCAGAATTTGGCAAATTCCTGAATAGAGCTGTAATTTTGAAAACAATTTCTTAAGTTCTTTTAGGAAGGTTTACTGTAACCCAGTTCAAAGCGAAGGCTGAATTTAGCAATCTGCTAAATTCCGGATGCTTCAAAACGCTACCCAAATAGGATAAGTCTAGACCCAGGTGGAATGTATCCCTGCAGATTGCAGCAGCTTACAGTATCATAAACTTTTTATTTCTTACTCAATATTTGTTCACTGAATTTCATACCCTGCATTTATATGGCTCCAAAGTCTCTTTTGCTTCTTCACAAAGTGGACAAGGATCCTGGAATTAAAAAAAAAGACTGAGTATTTTTTCACAACTATTCAACCTTTTGCATTATTCTGCAAATGTTATAACTAAAATTGTATTTTTCAAAATAATGCATTTGTCTACATTTCTATAACATTCTTTCATGTTGATTATGCCATAGTTGATGTGTTCTCTAGTACACCGTTGCAAAAAGTTAACAGAGGGTTGAAACACAGTTTATTGTCTAAAATGTGCCAGATCTAGAAATTGAGTGAAAGGCGCTCTATAAATGTAATTTTGCTGTTGTTGTTGTTGTCTGTACCTTGGTAAACAATGTTAAAACTGGCAGATTCCTCTTCTGCGAAAACATTCTTCTTAGAAAATGTTCTGCCATAGACTTGGTTGATAGCCCGAGGTTTGAATAACAAAGCCGATACATTGTTGTGCTGCCACTGAAATGGATTAAAATTTAAATGGATTATATGTTGATGAGAAGATATACAACTTGCATTTATATAGCGCTCTTCACACGAAGTAGCATCTCGGAGAGCTTAACAGTAACTTATGATTATTACAGCAAACTTCTGTTAGAGTTACTACCATCTTCCTGGTCTAACCTATCTCTGCAATTGCCTCTAGCCCCATTCTCCTCACTCATTCAACTATGGCCTGTTGCTCAACCCTCGCCTTTTCTGTCCCACCATCGATCCCACCACCATGTAGAATGCTGTGCCCAAATCCCTTCTCCATGCATCCTCTCTCCCTGCTTTCAAACCTCCTAAAAACTCCTTTTTGTCTTCATGGAGCCCTGTAGCTCAGCGAGAGACCTAGGTTTGATTCCCGGCAGGGTGAAACCTTGGTTACGTTTCCTTACTGCACACGTCTGATAATAATCCCTCAAGAAAAGAAACAATAATAAATTGGTCACTTCAATCCACGACTGTTTGTGGGACACTGCTGTGCGCAATTGGCTGCTGCGTTTCGCCCACAAAATATAGTCAATCCACTTTACAGTATATTCTGTGAAGCACTTTGAGATGTCTAGAAGATGTGAAAAACGCTATATCAAATGCAAGGACTATTATTATTGTTTGACTGTGTCGTTGCTTAACAACCTCAACCCCTCCGCACCCACTTTCCACCTTCCTTGATTTTTAGTTTCTATAATTCATAGAGCACAGAAGGAGGCCATTCAGTCCATCGTGCCTGTGCCACCTCTTTGAAAGAGCTACCAATTAATCCCACTTCCCCCCTCTTTCCCCATACTTTTGCCAATTTTTCCTTTTCAATTAGATAGAAGGAATAAAGAAGGAATGAGAAAAGGCAAGTCACTTCAATTCTTCTCACAACACAATCTGCATCCACATACAGTACTATATTTGAAATACTTTCCCAACCTCACAGGAAGAGTCTCTTTTGAGACACTTGCTCTGTGGCTTGTGATAAACAGAAGCTCTCTTTAGTTTTTTTTTAACAGTGATGATATCACCGGAGTAAAACCCTCAGTTCTCAATAAAACAGAAATGTAATATTCTAAAATGAAGCGTCAGAATCAAGTAAACCCTCTGTGGCGGACCAGGTAGTCTTGTTCCAGAGTCAGGTGTGTCCGCAGTATTCCAGGGCACAATATCTTTCTTGTAGTATGTTGACCAGAACTGCGCATAGTACTCCAAATGTGGTCAACCAAGATTTTATGCTTAAAGGAATCCAAACCATGGTGATAGGTTTCTGCCTGCGTCAGACATACTTAACTATTCCAATGCCCTCCTCTCCGGTCTCCAGCTCCACCATTCATAAAATCCAGGCAATTCAAAACTCTGCTGCGCCAAACTCCGCACCCCCAACACTTCAGTGACGCTGCACCCTGCTCATCCAGGCCTCGATGGAGCCAGGCTTCACTTGCTCCCTATTGCATAAAAGGTTGATTTCAAGATACTCGTGTACAAATCCCTTCATGCCCTGACACCTTTACCTCACCGATCATTTCACTACCCACTGCCTTCACTAAACTGGCCTCCTGCATGTTCCTTGTCCCCTCCGCTACACCGTCACTGGCTACGCTTTCAACCACTGCGCCCTGAAACTATGGAACTCTCTGCCTCAATCCCTCCATCTTGTCCCCTCGTTAATCATCTTCAAATCGCAGCTGAAGATCTTAGTCTTCAACCGTGCTTTCGGTCTCCCTTCCTCCCTCTCCCAGGTTTGGTGTCAAGGTTTGGCGCTCTGAGAAGAGTACTTTATAAATTCAAGTTGTTGTTGTTCTGTCACCTGTCCTCCCTTTCTGCATCTATTTTACAGTCCTTGTACCAGCCTGTCCAGCTCGGACCACCCTTCCTATCAGCGCTCTGGCTTGCAGGGTTAACAGGGGCTGAGCGGGATGACTCTCAGCCCCCAGTGACTGCTCTGCCTTCCAGGTCGTGTTGATGTGCCAGGCTGTGCTGTGCTGTGCTGTGCTGCCATCAGCAGCGCCCTGGAAAACCGCAGACCCGCCTGGCTCAGGATCCAGGCTGGAGACCCCCACAGAGGGTTGGCTTGATTCCGGCATTCCTTTGCCAGGCACGTCAGCTTGGAGCCAGTTCAGAGTTCAGCGTTCAGCCCGGAGGCGGCGCGGCGCGGCGGCGCTCCCCGGGGACAGCAGTCAGGGGTTTAGATTTCAGGGCCAACATAGACAAACTTGATGAGCGGCAGATGTTTGCTTAAAGCAGCCACAGACAGACCCGCAATTCCCGGTCAAACGCGGCAGCTCCTGTTCCTCACCACCTCTGCAACAGTGCAGCCCAGTGCCCCGGCACCAGGCCTCACACCCTCCAGCTGTCAATCACCGCCGGCCTCGCTCCTCATAGGTCAGCGCTGCTGTCAATCACCGCCGGCCTCGCTTCTCATAGGTTAGCGCTGCTGTCAATCACCGCCGGCCTCGCTCCTCATAGGTCAGCGTTGCTGTCAATCACCGCCAGCCTCGCTCCTCATAGGTCAGCCACTGCTGTCAATCACCGCCAGCCTCGCTCCTCATAGGTCAGCGCTGCTGTCAATCACCGCCAGCCTCGCTCCTCATAGGTCAGCGCTGCTGTCAATCACCGCCAGCCTCGCTCCTCATAGGTCAGCGCTGCTGTCACTATCCCTCCCTCCTGCAGTGTGTTGGTCGAGGACATTGGGCGATCACTGACTGGCGCAACGCCCCCACCTGGTCTTCTGTTGAATTACACCCCCAACTCAGCAAACTCTGACAAAAGGTTTGTGAACACAGCATTAACACGTGTGAGTGTGTTTCCAAAAAAAATGAGACGCAAGTATTTCACAACCTGAGCAGAACTGTGGTCAGAACACTTACAAGTATCCAGTATTGCTGAGCGCTTTGAGACGCCCTCCTGACATGAAAGGCGTATGAATGTAAATTATACTCTTAAGTATGAAAACAAACCAATGCATTTAATAAGAATGGTACACGTATAAATGACTTGTACTGGTAGTTGAATAATAAATTGGTCACTTCAATCCATAACTGTTTGTGGGACACTGACTGCTGTGTACAATTGGCTGCCAGGTTTTGCCCACAAAATACACAGTCAAATCACTTTTCTAATATATTCTGTGAAGCGCTTTGAGACGTCTCAGTGTCGTGATAAGGCGCTATATCAAATGCAAGGATCATTATTATTATAATCTATTCAGAATCAAATCTAATAGGTTTTAGAAAAGTTGAAGGTGATTACCATCAACTTACAAATTCAAATTCACGTTTATATAATGCCTCTCGATCCGGGAGGATGTCCCAGGGTGTGCAGTCAAGCTGGGGGTTGGGAGCTGAGGGGGTGACAAATGGTCGAAAATACGGTCAAAGAAGAAGGTCCTGAGGCAGCCCTTGAAGGAGGCGAGGGAAGCGAGGAGACGAAGGGACTGCGGGATGGGATTTTGTAGCATTTTCTGTTTTAAGTTTTGTTCTCAGAATATGGAAGCAGTTTAACATTGCTGCTCCATCAACAACAATAACTGCACTCACATTGCACCTTTCCTGTCGTTAAATGCCTCAACACGTGTCTCGGAGCTGGAGTGGGAGCTTGTGCGGGGTGGGAGATTGTGGTTCATTAGAACAGTGATTGGAGTGCGTTAAAATCGTATTTTGAATTAAATGTTTTCATTCAGTTATTCAAAAATATAGTGTTAGCCTGGCTTAGTTGATAGCACTCTTTCTTCTGAGTCAGGTGCTGTGGGTTCAAGCCGCAGGTCTGGCTTTGATCTAATACAGTTTAGTCTGACACCCCTATGCAGTGCCATTGGCTATCTGTTTTCATTCGGAGTATCTAACTTTTTCTCACTATAATATCAATCTGTTTCTTAAAATGACTCCAGTATTCTGGCCTCTACCAACCTCCCCGGTACATTGTGTTGGCATATGGACATATTGTGGGCATATTTCGCCCACAAAATATACAGTCAATTCACTTTACAGTATATTTTGTGAAGCGCTTTGAGACGTCTCGAAGACGTGATAAGGCGCTATATCCAATGCAAGGATTATTATTATTATTTAATTGTTATTATGATCAGGTTTCAATCTCAGGATATAACTATCTGGTATATTAAGGACACCATAAAAAACAGAAAGCTGCATAACCGTGACATACATAACCAAATTATTTGTCTTTTAAAAAAATCTCTACCTGCTCAGTCATCCATAGATGTTAACTGCAGCTTCTTCAAACTTACAAAGAATGAATTCTCAGTACAGTTAAGGGAGAGTAATAAGAAAACTCACTGAAAAGATTGATTCTGAAGAGCCCACTCTGTCCATCAAAGGTCCAACCTCCCTCACTTGTTCCTCCAGATAAATGCAGGAATCCATTCCACTGCAAAGAGGACTATTGTTTAAAGAGGAGGATGGAAAAAGAGGAGCAATAACTACTGTTAATATGTCTAAATATTTCCATCAAAGCTGAGTTGCAGGAGATTCAAAAATCTAATTGTATTTCCACTTTCACTTCATTAATATTTAAACGATTCTAAACTTTCATTTCTTTTAGATTGCTGTTTGAGAGAGCAATTCCTGCCTTGCAGCATGTCTTGGAAGACATTCATTTCAGAGGATAGATATGAAATAAATTGTTTCATATTCTCGGTTTGATTGTCCTACTGTGCAGATTGCATTATGACCTGGATACATTTTATTAGTGCTCTACTAAGTTCTTGGGGGTAAAGTTATTAACATCCTATTTACAAAATGCTCACTCATAAATTTGCTATTTACAAATGCGTAACTTTTCTTTATTTCAGCTATCTCTGTTTGATTGATCTCAGCTCCATCAACCTACTTTCTTGTACTTCCTCTCAGTTCCTTCTCTCGCTGTCTACCTGGATGAGAGCTGACTTTCTCCAGTTGAATGTCAACAAGACCGAGGCTCTCCTAATTGGCTCCTGTCAGCACCTCCACACCTCAGGCGCTGAGAGTATCACTATCCATGGATGCACACTCCACCTTACTAAGCCAGTCTGGAACCTTGGTGTCTTGTTTGACCCTAAACTATCCTTTCTATCCCGCATCCCATGACCTCCTATGGCTTCCCCCACTTCCGCAACATCGCCCGGCTCCACCATTGCCTCACCCCTCAGGCAACCAAAACCCTCATTCATGCATTTATTACATCTAGTCAACTCCCTGCTTGTTGGCCTCCCAGCTTTTCCCTCCACAAGCCGCTAACCCCATATCAACCTGTCCACTCCCTCCGCTCAGCAGGTTCTGGCCTGCCCCACGTCCCCCGGCACCCACCATCAGCAGTCGGGCCTTCAGCTCCTCTGCCCCCTTCCTTTGGAACTCCATCCCACAGTCCCTTCATCTCGCTTCCTCCCTTGCCTCCTTCATAAGACATTTCAAGACCCTCCTCTTTGACTGCACATTCGGCTACCCTCCTACCCCTACCCTCCCTGCCCTCCACCACCCCTGACCCCAACCTCCTGTTTGGGTCCAAATCTCTGATTGTCCAGTACCTTGGGACATCCTCCCATCATGTAAAGCACTTTACAAATGTAATTTGTTGTTGTAGCTGGAAGTTTACTTTGTTGTCTCCTAAACCCATTCATCTACAGAAAACACAGTCACTACACAATGCAATAAATCTCGTAAAGCATTTTGAGACATCCTGACATGAAAGGTGTTATATCAAATGCAAGAATTATGATTATTATTATTAATTTATTGTGCACTTTGGTTATCTACACTGAAGCTACATTATACAAGTGCTGCTTTATTCACTGCAGAATCTTAGCTTGAACCCCAGACGTCCTTTAATCCTTTTTCCATCTCAAAAATGTTGTCTGCTTGCTCCCTTACTTCATTCTCTTGTTAAGTGCTTTGAGACGTTCGTACTATATGGCTTTTAAGATGGTGTTTTGGATGGGAAGGAACAGCTGGTTTCTGTTCTCGTGAGGAGTGGGTGGGATAGGCTTGTGTTTTTGTAAGGGATCACAGATCACTGTAAGGCTCAGGGGAACTCACATATGTTGTATTCATTGAATTCCATAAGACTTTTGACCCAGGGTCATGTGAAGCCCTCATGAAGAAGCTGGAAGCTATCAGAGTACATGGTCAAGTGGTGCATCTTATTTGGGATGTGTACTCCAGCCAAAAGATTCATATGAAACTTGATGGAAGAATCACTGAGACTATTCCTCTCAAAACGGGATAAGACAAAGTTCTCCAATGTCACCACATTATTCAGCATATTCACTGGCAGAAAAGTTGTCCTGTTGAGATTTGTCTGCAGAACACAACAGAATCTCGCCCATAATTTAAGGGCTATTATGGGAAGGAACAACCCTTGTTCCTTAGTGGAACACAATTTGATCTAATTCGATTAATGGGGCTCATGTACTGATGGTATTGAGAGGAATGAACTTGGTGTATGTGCTCCAGGTATTTCTGATAGAATTGTGGCATTTCTGTTTGTGGATTATATGGTGCTGCCACACACCATGTTTGGATATACTGAGCAATTAATCAACTAACACCCTAGATGTCTTTCAGGTTCCCCCTTGACAAGTTCTATTCCATCCATGGAGTACTGTCCATGTGTTTCCATTCTTACCTCCTTTGTACGTAGTACCTTGCATTTGTTTGTGTTCAACTACATCAGGAGTCCTGTAGCTCAGTGGTTAGAGCACTCGCTTTGCAAGCGTGACATCTAGGTTCAATTCCAGGCAGGGTGAAACCTTGGGCAAGTTTCCTTACTCCACACACCTAATAATAATCCCTCCAAAACCAAAACAATAATAAATTGGTCATTTTTAATCCATGACTGTTTGTGGGACACTGCTGTGCGCAATTGGCTGCCGCGTTTCGTCCACAAATATACAGTCAATTCACTTTACAGTATATTCTGTGAAGCGCTTTGAGACATCCAGAAGACGTGAAAAGCGCTATATCAAATGCAAGGATTATTATTATTATTATTTGGCAGTTATCAGCCCATGTGTATACCTATCAAGCTCTGTTTGCAAGACCTTTGCTACTTCCTCTGATTCGACAGATCTCCTCAATTTAATGTCATTTAAGTCTCTTGCACCATGTTTGCATATATGGGTCATTAATGTATAGAAGGAATAGGAGGGGTCCCAGTACAGACCACTGAGACACACGCTTATTAGAATTCCCATTTTGACCTAGCTTCCCTAACAAAAATCCTCTCCTTAATCAATCTGATCATTGTAATCATCTTTGCTAATGCATTAGGAGTCTTATAAATAAACCGAAGTAGACAAATATACTATCAATCTTTCTTGCTTGTCTAGGCAAACCAGAACGACTGGGGGTATCTTTGCCTACCTCTGTCTGGCTACAA